AATAGTTGGGATTTATGTTTTCAAGTATTTGGGTGTTTTTAAGTTTATGTTTTCAAAATTATGTCTACCAAACAGATTTTTGTGTGTGTGTTTTGTACTCAAAAGTTCTGTTTTTAACTTTAAAAAATTGAGTTCAAATCGATTTATAAACCAAAGAGACGTGGCAAGAGGTGAAGATGGCTGTTTTATTTCAAGGAAAATAGTTTCCTGCTTTTAAGGAAATGTGGGCGTGGTATTTTCAAGTTTCTAAATATTTTTCAATTTAAAAAATTATTAATTTACATGCACATGCCATGTCATTTAAAATGGACACCGGTTTTTAAATTTTATTTTTAATATTTTTAACTTAATGAATATTTATTTTCAACTTTTCACTTTTCACTTTTCTCTCATCTTCTCCCAAATCCAGCACAACCAACCATCATGGATCATGCTGCCCCGCCCATGGCGGACTTGTGTAATTCTCTTCCAAGAAGAAAATTTGACACTTTGTTGAAACGTTATATCTTTGGGTCATGAAACTTATAAACAACCTCTTCCTCCATTGTTCGAAAATCCAAATGCCCCATTTTTCCCTCCAGAATCCAATTGCCCATTTGGCTATCTATTTTGTGAATCAAAATAAAATATTATTAAAAAAAAATCAAAATGGATCCCTGAGATTTCATTTCATATTTTTGATAAAATAAATCAAAAAGCTATTCGGAGTTGATCTCAGAATTTGGTGGCTTTTTTTGTCAGAGAATTTGGTGGCTTTATTAAGAATTATTTGGGGATCTGCCAATTTGGTGGTGCGGCTAGCAGTTGGGCCGAAGGTGCGGAGGCGTGGCGGCATGGCTCTGAGTCCGATTAATCCAGGTAGAGATACTGAATAACAATAGTAATATATATTCTGGTCAGGTCAATGGCTGTCAAAATTTATAATAACGAGTTTAAATGTGTTGATGACAGGGAGAGGGATTGATCAGAATCAACATTTGAATCACGAGCATCCCATGATGGAAGTGCAGAGGAAGAATGAGTGTTGCTGCGATGGGTGCGGTGACCCAGTGATTGGGCCTAGCTACACTTGCAACATTTGTAAAGAACAGAGTATCTTTGGCTTCGATCTCCATAAATCATGTGCCGAGCTAACGGGTGAGATCCACCACCCGATCCACCGCAAGCACCCACTTACTCTTGACACAAGTGACAGGAAAAAGAGTTGCAGTGCATGTCATCAAGATTGCATCTCGAGGTTCAGTTACAGTTGTTTCCAATGTGAGTTCAACATTGACCTCCAATGTGCTTCCAATTGGAGCAAAATTCTTGACTTTCATGACCACAAATTAACCCCTCTTAGGAAGCCAGGGCAATTACAATGTGAAGTCTGCGGCGAAGATAGTACTAGTATTTACAATAGATATAGCGCCGCCTTTTACCTCTGCAGCATCTGCCAGCTCCTGGTCCATGGACGTTGTTCTAGGTTACCAAGCCACGTCAAAACGGCCCAGCACCAACACCGCCTAAAGCTCACCTGGTGGTTTGAAGATACTTTCCCGAAAATCCAAAATTTCTGTGACCTCTGTTATGAAAACATGGACAAAAGCCGCGCAGTTTATTATTGTGAACGTGAATATTGCAGTTATGTCGCCCACAATTACTGCGCAACAAGACATCCTGAGGCGGTTCAAGATAGTGTTGATGATGATGATGATGATAGAATAATCAGCAACCAAATCAATCACTTCAGCCATCCACATGTCTTAGCCCTCATCAATAGTGATCATCAAGATAATGGTGATGATGATGATGATGATAGAATAATCACTTGTAATGGCTGCATGCGACCCATCACCAAAATTGATGCCTTTTATAGCTGTACAGAACAAGAGGAGTCGTGCCCTTTCTTTCTACATACAGCTTGTGCAGAGTCACCTAAAATGATAAGTTTCCCATTTTTAAATGAGTTCCAGTTTGAACTCCATCCAAGGGCTCAATATTGGATTGGTGGGGTGTTCAAGTGTTTCATGTGCGATACGTTTTGCCAAGGCTTCGTATACCTTTATAATATTATTTCAACTTTCGCCGTGGACCTTCAGTGCGCTATTCTATATAAGCAGAAGGCTCTTAAACATGAGGCTCATGTTCACACCCTCCAGTTCAACAAAAATTATGAAAACACTTATAAATGTAGGGGTTGTGGCACTTCTAAAAAAAATTATTGGTTCAGTTGTAGGAGATGCGACTTCCATCTCTGTATTTCATGTGTTAAATTACCTCCTACAGCGAGGCACAGGTACGACAATCATCCTCTCAAGCTCACCTATGACAGTGTTAAAAACGAGTTAGATGAATATTATTGTGAAATATGCGAAGGCAAACGAGATCCCAAACTCTGGTTCTACTCCTGCTCGGATTGTGACTTTGATTGTCATCCTCATTGTGTTCTCGGGAGGTATCCTCAAGTCAAGTTAGGAGATAGTTACAAGCATCCGGCTCACCCACACCTTGTCACCCTTGTTGACAAGAGAAGGAGTGAAATTCCTTCCGATAAGAGAGAGCGGATTCTTCCTTGTGACAAGTGTAGTAGACCTTGCGAAGGATTGGTGTTTGAATGTTCTGAGTGTAATATAAATTTCCACCGAACTTATGTGGAACCATGGTTGAAAGGAAGATGTTATTCCTGATATCCGAAATAAATTGATTCTCGTTTCAAATTCATTTCCACCGAAGGTGTTTTAATTTTCTTGCATGTCAAATATCTCAAACTTCCTACAAAAGTCTTGAAAATACTTGGGTTCCGCTTTTTCAGCTCCAGCTTCATATTTGGACAACTTCACTCCACGTTCTAGAGTTGTGGGCAGAAAGGACGAAATTCTAACTTGTAGATGTGATCGTCAAGTAAGAAGTAACTATGTTCCGTATAAGATCGGGGGCACAATTGTGTTCAATTGGCTTTGCATAAGTTCAAACCCAAACTGAACATAGGATCCTGATTACAATCCGTGAAAGCGAAACTAGTTTGATAGGTTCGACTATGCAAAAGCTTTAGGTTCTCTTTTAAGGTTCTGCTTTCTAGAGCCTGTGCAAGACTGTGACATGTCCTCCAAGAAAATAGGTTTGTCTTGCATTTTCCATTGGATTAAATCTTAAGCAAGGTAAAATGCAAACTAAAAGTTACACAACTATGTATGTATGTGGATATGAATAATATAAATATATCCACACTAAACAGAATTAACAGAGTAAACAGACAGAACCAAAGAAAACATCCTCTGTTAAATACACATATTCTTTATAAAAAAAAATATACCTTTTTCTTTTTTAAAGAAAAAGAAAAGGATAAACTCCTACTTGTGGTTGAGTTCAAGAAGCGTGTGTGTGAGCTTCCTTGTAGAAGAAGATGAAGACACAACAATTTGAACAAAATTACTATAAAAATTCAAAATCCCATTACCTATAAAAGCAAGAAAGCATCAGGGATGTTTTATTGAGAGAGTGAGCTTCCTTCCTTTTTGTCTGTCTCTCTTTCTTGTTGCTATAACAA